TACTACTACTACTAGTCCTGCTGCTGCTGCTGCTGCTGCTGCTGCTGCTGCCGCTGCCGCTGCCGCTGCTGCTGCTGCTGCTACTGCTACTGCTACTCCTACTACTACTGCTACTGCTCCTGCTACTACTACCGCCACTACCACTACCACGGTGATGACGACGACGACGACTACTACTGCTACCACTACTGTCACCACCGTAACTTTGGCCTCGATGATTCAGAGTTTGCATTTCAATTTCCTGCAGCTGTTCACACCTGATTGTCAAAAGTTACCTAATCGCTGCACCGGCGGACAATGAGTTCTCACGGGTTCTCTCACGCAAGTTGGCCTGGGCGGCGGAGCCGACAATCCAAGTACTCATAACAAGTGACTGCAGCCACGCAACTCAAGATTGTTCTTCTTGTTCGTGGTTCGTGTCCACGGCGTAGGCGGCATAGCTGTAGATTCTTGCTGGTGAGACCGCCAGTATCTCCCAAAACAATACTGCCCTACACTTCTCTTCAACTTACGCAGGCACATACATTTCGAGGATTAGGCTTCCCGAAATTACCAACCTCAGGCCTACCCGGATCGATGTCTTCCATACCCTTAGCATCTAAATAGCCCGAAAGCCTTATATAATATGGCCACTGGACCCAAAAAGCCTTAAAATATGAGTCCTTTCAGGGCAAGGGATAGGGTTTAGTTCTCCTCCTGGCGCTTAGGAGGACTCGCCCTTGCGTTTTGAGAGAGCTCAATCAATCTTGCCCTAAGGGTCCAAGTACCTAAGAATCATATACCCTCCCAAATAGAGTTTAGGGTTTAGGGGTTTAGGGTTTATAGGGAATTACTATCCGAAACTTAAGTACCTGATTATTGGGTGCTTTGGACCCTTGGGGTAATCTTGTTAGATTCTGGACAACGGCACCGCGTTGAAGATTCGTTGGTGCACCTGTTGTCCAGTTCCTGGACTTCATCGGGTGGCGCCTTCGAGTTCGTAAGTCTAGCGCGGCCAGTTGGGCCCCGATCCTCAGAGTTTAGGGGTTTAACTGATCAGGACTTTCGGGTCTAGGGTTTTTAGGGTTTAGGGCTTAGGAACACGGTATACTGGTCTTCATGGGTTCCGGTTGCTACAAATTGCTACAACTTGCTCTCACGAGACGGCCATGTTGTGCTACAGCCGGTTGTATCTGCAGTGGCGGCGGTAGCGATGCCGTTTCAAACACGCATGAAGCACTACTGTTTCCGTTGTTCCTGCGAAGGCCATTCAGAGCAACCGACTGTGGAGCATGTTTTAGATTGCCATTCCCTCGAACTTCTGTCTAGATGTTCTTCGACCCTAAACCTTAAACCTTAAACCCTAAACCCTAAGAACTGCCCGGTGGGTTCAGCAACTAGAGGTACCTCTCTTCGGGATCCTGGGAATGAGTACTCTACCTGTCTACATTAGGAGGTCCCTTCGTTTCTCAAGCTCCGACCCTGTCAGTGTCTTGGTGAGGGTTTGGGTTTAGGGCTTAGGGTGTATCGTTTCGGGGACTCTGGGTGGAGCTTGACAAGCTTACCAACATCAGCACCCGGGATCAGAACAACTCCGCTTATGTCATGTCTTCTAGCGCGGACACCTTAATCCTAGGCGCTAGGCCCCACCGTGGATGGTCGCAACTTACGCGATGCACAGCTACAGTGTCTTAGATGCAGTTTTAGTAAGTTTAGGGTTTAGGGTTTATGGTTTTGAGGTTTAGGGTTTAGGGTTTAGGGTTAGTAAAGCTTAAACCAGAAAGCTTGCTTTTTCCCATGGGCCGAACACCTGAGAGGGTCCAGGACCCTTCCGCGGCAAGTACCTGAGGTGCCCGCTCCTCGATTCCAGACACACCAGAGCAAGGGTTCTAAGTGTATGTATTCTTCGTGATAAAAGACGAGAGGTT